AAAAGGAACCAATTAAAATGAGCCTCGCAGTGGTGATGGGGGGGCGACTCCGGGAAATCCTCCCGCCAAGGTTTGAGGCCAAAGAGAAACCCCCCCCCCGTCCCCAGGCCCGGTTCAGCTGCTCCTCTCTCACGGGGGTGGGGGTTAGGCAGTGTATCCCCCCCCTCCTTGGCAAATATCTATCCCTTGCATGGAGAAAGCGAGTCCATCAGGAAGAAGAGGCCTCGCAGTGGTGATGGGGGGGCGACTCCGGGAAATCCTCCCGCCAAGGTTTGAGGCCAAAGAGAAACCCCCCCCCCGTCCCCAGGCCCGGTTCAGCTGCTCCTCTCTCACGGGGGTGGGGGTTAGGCAGTGTATCCCCCCCCTCCTTGGCAAATATCTATCCCTTGCATGGAGAAAGCGAGTCCATCAGGAAGAAGAGCATACATGCCCAGGTCCTGATAGGTTGCGCTTCCACATGCAGGGATCTCTCTCTCTGTCTCTCTCTCCTGTTCACTGATAGGCTGCACTTCCGCAGGGAGGGGTGTGGGTGTGTATGTTGTCCCCCCCCCTTGGTACCAAAGAGCCTGCGATCAGGATGGCTGCATTTCAGGGACGCCTTGTCCAAACTTGGCTTGCACTCGCAGAAGGGGATGCCTCTGAAGCCTTAGCACGCCTGACAATGGGCGGTCACTGTATAGAAGCACTACTTGATGATACAGTATTCTTTTTTCCCCCCAAACCTCTTGTCGGCTGCTTTGATTCTTAAGAACGCAGGGTTTCATGCTTCAAACAGAGGTTTAGAAAGGGTACCCTTACACAAGGCAATTGCTGGAAATGCTAATGCTGTACAGTATATTCTTCTGCTTCTAAAAATAATAGTCCTAACTGGATGTTTCGCTTGTGTGGAGAACATCCAGGGCCTTTTCCAAAGCCCTTCTGACCCTGAGTCTTAGGTCACTCACTACAGAGGCTGCACGGACTAAAATATATATACTGTATCTGTTCATCATCCAGCTTTGTGTTGATACGTTAACCCAAATAATTATACTTAAGGCCCTAAACATCGATGTATCTGTTATTATGTAGTACAGAGCCGCTACTTGTTGCCAAACACAGGTTGTCTTCACACACAGTGTCAGAGACATTGGCAACAACATTTTTATTCAGTCTTTTTCCTTTGGAAATGTGTGTTGCTTGGTCATTTGCATCTGAGCACTCCTTTACGATGCCTAGTATCGAAACTAAGTGTTTTTGTAACTCACTTGGGGGGGGAGTGCGTCTGGGAAAGCCAATCCTTAAATATCTCAGGTCACCCTCCGCAGCTGTCCTTTGCGGAGTGTAGTGTGTGGGAGGAAGACAGGCTGGGGACTCGCCTGGAGAGGGCGTAGCCCCCCCTTTTTGTTGAGGATATGTTGTTTCATTCAGGGCGTTATAATCCTCTCTTCTTAATTTAACTGAAGGACATAAGGGTGCACAGGAAAGTCGAACAACATGCATCTATAATAGGTCCATGAAGAACAGATCTTAAAACCCTTTAATAGCAGGGAAGTATAAAATGATGTTCACAGACACCGCTTTGAGCTCCTTGGAGGTGGGTGCTTAGAAATGGAAATCTAGAGAGACCTTGCCCTGGAAGTCAAATCCCACATCTGCCTACTGTTAAGGAGACACCTGGCTTCCTTCTGGGGACTTAACTGCAGAGCTCATTCTGTGTCGTGGATGGGGTCCTTGGGATCAATCATTCTTAGGGTCTTGCTAGAGCTGAGCTCCTGGCCTGCAGCTCTGGCTTGCTTTTTCTCCCTGTTCAACAGGCTTCAGAACAGGAGGCTGAATCCCAGGGTCTGGCACTGATGCAGCCCCCTTCCAGCCCCGAGCTGCTGTCGTCCTTGCTGTCTGGGCAAATGATCGAGGGGTCCGTGTGGACTCTGGTGGCCACCATCCAGACCATGGAGGGCAAAGTGGACTCTCTGGCCGAGAGGTTGCTGAGCCTGGAAGGGAGGGCGGTCACGGCCGAGAAGAAGATCTTTGAATGTGAGAAGATGGAGCTGGAGTTTGGCAACCAGCTGGAGAGCAAGTGGGCCGTGCTGGGGACCCTGATCGAGGAGTACGGGCTGCTGCAGAGGCGGCTGGAGAATATGGAGAACCTGCTCAAGAACCGGAACTTCTGGATCCTGCGCGTCCCACCCGGAGTCAACGGAGATGTTCTGAAGGTAGCTGCCTCTCAGCAAGCCTCGGCAGGCAAGGTTTTGTGGGCTGGCTGGTGCCACAAATCCAAGGCAGAGAGAGATTTGCCCCGTGGCCAGGGAGATTACGGCCCCAAAGGCCAGCTCTGCTGTTTGGCCTCGGTCAGGTTACTTCTTGGCTGTTGCAGCCAGTTGCAACTAGAGCAGGCCCACTGAATCAGTGGAAATTCCACCCAATCCCTGCTGATTTAGTGGGTCTCCTGTAGCTGTGACTCAATACGGCAAGCAACGTGAATTTAGCCATTGGAGAGTGGGAGTCACAGTAACTGCTTTGCTAGGTTTCTTAGGTCATAGACAGAATGTGAGTATGAAATAAATAAGGCTGTTTCAGGCCATCTTCAGACCAGAAAATGATGTCTAAACAAATTTACGGGGTAAAACCAGAAACATACAAGAAGACCCCCCCCAGAAGATAACTAAGATTGCTCTCTCTTTCTCCCGTTCCTCTCTCCACATGACAACAGTCCCAAGGCGAGCTGTGTTGTTCTGCTGTGGTGAGCTGCAAATGCACGGATGGTGCAAGCTTTGAAGTTCTCAGGGATTTGTCCTCAGGTTGCGTGGTTAGAAAAAGGGGGACATGGGAGTCCCTAGATTTTGGGTAGGTGTTTTAAGCCATGAAGATCAGCAAATAAACTCAGTCCAAAGCTGGAAGGTGGGACATACAATGCGCATGACCTTTAAAGTGTCAGGGTTTTCAAGGTCTTCCTGTTTCAAATCTCCCTGAGAGCACTGACACTCTGGCAGGCAGAGATGTGGTCTGGCCACCATAGGCAGCTTGAAGGAGTCCCTTAGGCCAGAAAGGATATTTGTGTGGTTGACTTGCCCCAAGGAAACAACCTGAAACAGCCTTTATTTATTCCATAATTCCTGTGCCGTCCTGCCTGCACCCCAGTGAACTCAAAGCTGGCTACCTGGCTGTCCTTCTCTCTTAACATCAACCCTGTGAGGTGGGCCAGCCAGGGTAATGGCCAAAGGCTACCCAGCAACATTTGTGGTTCTATGGGGGTTGCAAGTTTTACCTCCCGACTGTAATTGCCAAATCTTTGCACCACACTGGCCTCTGGGTCGTGTAGAAAATCTGGACTCCCCTCCTAGCACCAGAAACCTCTGGGAATGATGTGGCAAGACTAGCTCTCTGGGAAATGAAAGATTTATTTATTTATTTATTTAATTAGATTTCTATCCCGCCCATCTAGACCAAAGATCTACTCTGGGCAGTTGAAGTTGTCTCACCCTCCTGTCTTTCCTCCAAGGGAACTCAGCCCCCCCCGCTCCCCCTCCATTAACCTCACAACCACCCACTTAGCTGACTGTTTGGAAGAGGTTTTGAACCCAGGTCTCTGAGGAGGGGGTTAAAGCCTGCTCCGCGGGAGCATCTCCCGGCCCATGGTCCTGATGTCTTTGCGCCTTGCAGGGGCCGGCCACCTTTGAAGACAGCACCGCTGCCGCTGCCGCCTCCCCAGAGGAGTGGGAGAAGGAGCTCTACAAGAATGTGATGAAGGGGAAACAGGAGTCGCTGATCTCGCTTGGTAGGATTGCCCGCCTCCTCTCCATGTCAGGGTTGACCCGTGGCCTGCGTTTGAGTCCATGGGCGTTTAGGGCTGTGGGTTGATTATGCCTCTTTTTGGGAGGAAACACCTGGCACAGATGATAACTTCCCCACCCCACCATGGCCTGGCATGCATGCGCCTTTATCCAAGCTCTGTTGCTCCCCCACCAAGACAAAAGTGTTGTGTCACCTTAAAGATAGCTGCTTTTTTCCTTCTCTTTGACCTCAGCTCTTCTGGGCTGGAGCCCATTTTTGTCAAGGGCATCTGATAAAATGGCCAGAG